GAGACTTAAAGAGGGCAAGGTGAACGTTTTTAATGAGGTATTAAGAACCTTAAAGCTCCTCGCTCCAGCCCCTGTTTTTGAAATATATTGAAACATATATTACTTCAGCTTCATATTCTTACAGTGGCCCTGCGGTCAGCTGCAAAAACATTTCTTACAACAATAAAATGTGCTTACATTACATATTTTTATTTTGTGAATTATTTTGTGGGTTGCGATTTTTCTTTAAATGTTGTATTTGTGTTTAAAGATGTATTGTCACTTTTGTGAATTTATTTACGCCCATTCATTAAATATGTAAGTTTGTGAATATTTTTATATTTTTGCTGTCAATTTTTTTGGCTTCCTGGAAAATATTTATTCAGTTGACCATCAGGGCCACCATATTCTTACAGTATCAAATAATAAAGGGAAAAAGAAAAACCCCTCCAGTTTTTAGCCTACAATTAACATGCAAAGTCATCTGCATCCAACTCTTATTTTGAAGGGCTGCATCCATCCTTTCCTGTGTCATGTCGGTGAACAGTAGGCATCTTGTCTGTGCTCTGCTTCAGCATCCAGCAGACTGCTCCTGCACACACACACACACACACACACACACACACACACACACACACACACACACACACACACACACACACACACACACACACACACACACACACACACACACACACACACTCTGCATCCTCGAGCTGACAGCGCCACTGTGCTGGTGGCGCAGGCGCAGCTGACGAGGGAAATGTAGTATTTCTAGAACTACGCGTTCATTCTAATGAGCTGCGTGCTTCTGGGTGTGGACTACAACCCTGCTCAGTCTGTTCGGTGTAAACAAACCGCATTGTGGGAGAAATCTGAGGTGATGGAATATTTTAATGACCCTCTTTCTTGCGGCTGATTCGCTTTGTTTATGCAATGTGTTTGATGTATTGCAATGTATTGTGAGTCATCTTTGATCATAATGCTAATTTTGAGTCTTTGTGCTCTTTGTGTGTGGTGTAAAACAATTGGCCAAGTGGCTCAATTATTTTTAAAATGTTTAATGCAGCTTTTGGAGAAAATATTAGCCTACTGTCTGTTAAAGAACTTTAGACAAGTCATTAGATTTTTTTTTTTGAATTCATATTTTGATTCTTGGTTAAAGGTAACATAGGCCTGACTGTAATTTGGATTAAGATGACATTCATTCACATCATCAATAAAAACATGATTATGCAGCCGCTCAAATGAAGACTGAGATAACACTGACCAACGTTGTGAAAATATTCACAGGACTCCAATATTTTAACACAAAAACTGAACTCACTCCAGATCCATATGAGCTTCTGTCGGTCCTGTCAAGCGCATGTCGTCATTAGGAGACACTTTAAGACTGACTTTAAGTCAGAAAGTTGAGAAATGTCAATAATTATGCAGCAGTTAAATTGTTAAAATAACCCCTACATACATCAAAATTAAACCTGTACCTGTACAATTAAAAACTAGACCTATAGCATAAGAACATTTACATAAGTGGTGCAGGAATAAGAATAAAAAACCTATGTACAATTTTTCAAACACATGTAAAATTAGACCTCTCTATATATCGCTTCATACTAACGGTGGCCCTGCAGTCATGATGAATTAAATAAACATTTAAAATAAACATAAAACATTTGGCTTATTTCTCTCATTCTCATTATTTCTTCTCATTATTTCAATAAACCGAGTAATTATTTTCAGACATTTTTTTTTATTTCCACATGAATTGGTTATTTGTGCTCTCTGTCTTTTAAGAGGACTCTATGAATTACCCCCCAAAAAATATGTTAAAAGAAGTTATTAGTGGGAAATAAACCCTTAAAAATGATGAAATTCTGTAATAAAACAAACATCTATCCAATTTGTTATAATGTGATTATCACCCAAATACAGGATAATTCCCGGTGTGGTGTAGCTAAAGCTCTAGATATCAATATTAATCCTCTATTACATTCAGAACAGATTGTGCTCTGTTTTGGTTGCTGCTGACGCACATTCTCCGCGACAACATTCTCACGACGTCATATTCGCGCGTCTGAAAAAAAAAAAAAACAGCATGGCACCATAGACTGTATGGCACCCACTTGACAGAGAAGAGTCTCGTGTTAGATCTTGCACCGTGAATATAAGAAGCTCTGTATCGATATTACCGACATGGATATAACTGAGGCACACGACGACACTTTCGGAATAGAAGTTATTCTTGAAGAAGGGAGTAAAACGGCGCCATGTTGTCCGCATGGTAAGTTTATATTTAGAGGAAAACCACCAGAGTCCGTCAGAAATGAGCACTAAACTGTTTTTACTCCTGTTACGCCATATATTTAAGGACTATGTGAGCTCTTCCTGAGTGAGTTTGGTGTGTTAATGAATTCGGCTTAGGATAAAAATGTTGTCGCAGCAAAATATGAACTTTAATGATCCGTCGACATGTCTTAAAATGAGCCATGTGCTAACTGAGCTGAATGTTTGTTTAGAGATAAAAGGGGATACAGCCATGTTTTTTAAGGTTGTTTTTGTCAGTCTTGTAGAAGTACTGAAGACTAAATCAGCACATTGACATGTTTTCCTCTCTACCAGGTCCCACCCTGCTGTTTGAGAAAGTTGGTAAAGGAGGAGAGAAAGGCAGGAGGTTTTACGCCTGCTCGGCCTGCAGGGACAGAAAAGACTGCAAGTTCTTCCAGTGGGAAGATGACAAGGTAGACATGCCACCGTTATGATAGGCATCCAGTTACCTACATTTATATCTGTAACAAATGCAACTTTCATACAGTCTAGATTCATTTACAGATCAAGTGAAATATTTGTTTGTTTTTTTAATCTTGGATATTACAGCTCATGAAAATCTAAAACCCAGGATCTCAAAATATTAGATAAGATGAACCAAAAAAAGGATTTCTCAAACAGAAAAGTCAACCCTTCTGAGAAGTATGTTTATTTATGCGCTCAGTACTTGGTCGGAGCTGCTTTAATTTAGATTACTGCATCAATGTGGTGTGACTTGGAGGCTCTCCTGAGGTGTTATGGATGCCCAGGTTTCTCTGATAGGGGCCTTCAGCCTGTCTGTGTTGTTAGGTTCTGGTGTCTCTCATCTTCTTCTTGTTGATACCCCCGTGGATTCTCTGTGAGGGGTTCAGGTCAGGCGATCTGATTGGCACAGTAACAACACAGTCAGCAAACCAGTTACTGGTAGTCTGGGCTCTGTGGGCAGCTGCCAAGTCCTGCTGGAAAAGGAAATCAGCATCTTCTTAAAGCCTGCCAGCAGACGGCAGCGTGAAGTGCTCTCAGATCTCCTGGCAGACGCTGCGTTGATCCAGCACAGTGGACCAACACCAGCAGACGACATGGCGCCCTGAATCACTGACTGTGGGAACTTGACACAGGGCGCCTGACATGAACCTCACAAGTCTAATCTAGGTGTATTGTCAAGAGGAAGATGAGACACCAGACGAACTGAAGGTTCGCCATCAAAGCTACCTGGGCTTCCATAACACCTCAGCAGTGCCACAGGCTGATTGGTGATGTGACGCTGCATTGACGCAGACTTTAGTGCAAAAGGAGCCTCGACCAAGAATGAGCGCATAAATGAACACACGTTTAGAAGGCTAACATTTCAGTATTATTAACCCCTTTTCTTGATTGATTTTTGACAGCTGTGTAAGCTGTAATTATCTCGGATGTATCTTTGAACGTTTCCACGGTATTCATATTTTTCAAGATGCTGATGTATAATAAAAGTCCTCCTGTTTCTGGTGACCTCTTGTTGACTGAAATGCACTTACCTTTTAGGTTTCTGAGGCCAGACTCTTGGCCCGAGAAGCAGAGAACAAGTCAAAGGGACCTCCGTACAGCCAGCAGGAGTACTGTAACAGGTAAGGAGTCACCTGCAGCCTGTCATAGCTTTGTTCTGCCTGATGCAGGAAGTATGCCAGGCTGTCTTATAAACTCATGAGAGACTGCGTTCCTGCAAAAGTGGACTGGCCCTGATATGTAGGCGGTTGATAAGTCATTACAGAAAGAACATTTCAAATAAGTCTGATGGAGAGGGTCAGTGGGAATCACGGGGAAACTCAGGATTGGATATGAAACGCTTTATGTGGCCAACGTTAACGATAATATCACAACGAAGAGATTCTGTAAAAACAGGTTGTGAGTTTAAATGTACCAAAATCCCGTCATATTGGCGATGTGTGTATCCTCTCCCTCAGGTTTAGAAAGTTCTCCTCCCTCCGTGTGGACGAGAAGAAGTTCTGCCAGGACTGTCAGACGCTGCTCCTGCCCACAGAGCACGAGGCTCACTCGTCACACGGGACCTCGTACGTCACCGCTGCCCAGCTGAGGAGGCCGAGCGTGCTGCTGCGTCCGCTCCACAACAAGAAGAGTAACGCTCAGTACCTGTTCACAGACCGCAGCGCACACTTCCTGATCGACACCCTGGCAGGCCTGGGCTACAAGAAGGTGCTGTGTGTGGGGACACCGAGGTGAGGCACATACACTATGAGAGGCATTGTGGGTAATCCTGTCTTTAAGGAAGAATGTGCGACATGTTCCACATAAATACAGCAGAAATCAAGTCTATCCTGTAAATGTCTCTCTGAGGCTTGACTGTCTACAATGAGTGTGTTCACACGGACTGGACGGCCTTGTGTTTGAAAGCTGTTTTAGTCAAGGACTAGAGAGAAGAAGAAGAATCGATAGAATACTCGACTTCTAAAAGAATCGATTACTGCAGCCCTCTAATGAACCTCTCAGTTGTTGCAGGACTTTTTCAGAAGGTATTATTAAGATCATTTGGTTACACGTGTGCATTGGTTTATGAGTGCAAATATTTTCTTCATGCATTCCAAAAGTCATTGGTGCCCAACCTTTTTGCTTTTTCCTAAAATTAAATTATGACAAACTCAGAGCAGCGTCTCCCCAACCAATGAATTAGAAAGTGAAAAGGGCTGATGATAGACATGAAACAAAAGAAACATGACTAAGTTTTTAAACATTTTTATTAAATTCTAATAATAAATGATTGTTGGTGATTGTTTCAGACTTCATGAGCTGATCAAGCAGAGAAACCTGGAGCCCAAAAACGAGCCGATGAAGAGTCTGCTGCTGGACATCGACTTCAGGTTGGTTCATTTTGATTATTTTTAGGCTTGAAGCATTCTTGGCAAAGCTGATGTTAGGGTGTAAATGGACAGATAAGATTGAACACATCCTGGTTAGAGGGACCTTCAGAGTCCACCTCGCGGTGTCCCGCAGGGTCAGGGGTTGTTGAGGTGACAGAGCTCCAGGTGGTTGGGCCAGGTCTGGGTCTCCGGTGGTTTGAGGAAGCGTACTGCGGCGTGCAGAGGCTCGGTGAACTGATGATGAGCTCTGTCGAACACGGGCGTCACGGCTGCCGAGAACCTCTGCAGGACCGCCATGTTGTCTGCGTCGTAAAACACCAGCTGGCCTTTCTCGTAATTCACCCACACGCCCACCTTTCCCAACGCCGCCTGCCCGACGCCCTGACACGTCACATGCCGGTCGTTGTGCCAGGCGGACAGGTTGCCGCCACGGAGCTCCACGCACCACGAGTTCCTGTTCCGGCCGAGTTTAGCTCCCTTGTCCCGCCCCTTCCTCTCCAAGCGGGTGTAGGCCACGCCCACAGCCCAGGCCGAGCTGCAGCGGACGTCGACTTCCCAGTAACTCTGAGGAGCTGCAAGAGGAGTCCCACTCAGGGCGCAGCACACCTTATCAAACTGCAGGGGGTGCTCTGGAGCGGCAGGGGCGGAGCCTGAGAAAGACAAGCCATGCCCATCTGAGGTCATAGCGATCTTGCTGTGGCAGGTCTGCCGGTCGATCGCCATGGGAGATGAATCTGAAATGAAAGAGAGAATCCAAAGTCAATGAAATGTGGTGGCTCCACTGAGATCAATATAACAGCTACTTCCTGAAAGGCGTTCTGACACTAAAATATCTAACAATAGGTCGTTCTTCATGCTGTACAGCTCGGCTCTGAGTACCTAACAGTAGAGTCTTCCTCTGCAGCTGAGCTCTCAGCTGTTTGGAGATCGACGATAACGTCTTGAGAAGCTTTTCAAATCTCTCCTCATTCAGTCGGATTTCTTTCTCCGAGGCGTCCGGCTTCTTCGGACTGAAACAGATCACAGAGAGAGTGATGAGCTCTGCCGTGGAGCTGAATCGTCCTCATGTAGTGGTGCAAGAGTTTTACCTCAGAGTCTCGTTCTGACCCTGCAGGTGAGACACAAACAGAGGCGCTGATTTAAAAACAACAGGATCACTTAGTTCACATTCAAAGTGAGTCGGCGAGCAGCTCCTGAGTCACACCTTCTCCTCGTCCTCCTCCGGCCCCGCGCTCTCACTTAGCACTCGCTGGGTGCTGCTGATGTTCTTAGAGACCTGGTCCTGATGCCGCTCCCAGTTCTTCAGGACTTGGTCCAGTCTGGTCCTGGTCTGTCTCAGGTCCAGCTCCAGAGAGTAGAGGACGGTCTGCTCGTCCTGACTGAGGACAGAACGCATGCTCTCGAAGCGCTCTCTGACCTGCTGCTTCATCACCTCTGTGCTCCTCTTCAGGGACCAACAGGAACAGTTATTACTCTACCTGCACTGTCGATGGGTTTATGTTTACACAGTGATTATTTTAAACATGAAGGAGCCTCTCATACTCACAGAGAGGTCCGCCCTGCGTTTCTTCAGAGACTGGATGTGAGCTGCAGTTTTGGATCTCTCCGTCTGCAGCTCGTCCAAACGTCTGCTCAGCTGCTCCTGCAGAGTTTACAGTTACAAACATTGACAACTTGTTATTTCAAACTGAATTAATCACACATGTACACGTGTACAGATTTCAGGCTGAGCTGCATGTGTGAACAGAAACATTCATATTTTTCTCTCAGACTTAACCCGGAGTTTCTCCTCCAGCCTCCTCGTATTTATTCTGCAGAAAGTCAGAGTGAGCTGATGTGAGAACGCAGCAGGATATAATCAGGAGAATTCACCTGGAGCGAGTGGGAGGGGGTGGTGACGTTTATTCCCTGTGATCGCTGCACGACCATAGACTGTCTGCACGCCACCGTTTCAGCAGACGTCAGTCCGCACTACTGTTGTTTAGTGTTCTTTAAAGGGTCCCTCTGCAGCGTATCTTTGGTGCAAAGTCCACTCAGAAAAAAGCCTATTTTCAATTTCAGCTCAAACATGTCCTCAGTGAATTTAATCCTTTAAATATCAGCATAAATTAAAAAAAATCTCATAATGGTCCGTCTCTTATTCTTACCTGAGTGGGCAGTCCAGCGTTGGCCATCTTCTTCTTCAGTTTAGGAGAACGAGGGAAAGGCTGAACGGTTCTGTCGCTGTTTGAATCCAGAGAAGTGAAGCTGAATCGGTCCTGCAGTACGCCGTACGAGTCTGCAGAGGGCGCCGCAAGACCGCTCTGTGCTGACTGAGCTGCTGGTGACCTCCCATTACCAACAGCTGCACCCTCTTTTTCTGCCATTTCTGTGAAGCAGATAAAACATCAAACATTTCAAACCTCTTCCTTGGATGTTTTCTACCTTTTTTATATTGTCCGCAGAGTTTATTGTGTTTTTAACTTTCTGCTGCAGAGAAACCTGTTCTTCAGGTTTATGGAAAGTCTGAAAAACACACCCGTCCTGGACTCATGCAAAAATCTAGGCAGCCTGTTTTTGCAGATGAACTGAAAACAAAACGGCTGCAAAATGTAACAACTTCAAGTTTGTTCAGCGTTCAGTTTGTCAAAGTTTGCATAAACACGGCTGCAAAGTTTTTTAGCATCATGTTGATCGTGGAATCAACCTGTAAGCTTTGCAGAGACACGAGTCATATTTGCATTTATTAAAAACATATGCAAAGTCGATTTTAGCATGAATTCATTCTGATTTAGAAGTTCTTACCGGAGGTCTGTTTGCGCAGCGTCTGATTCGTGTGTCTCTGTAAAGAATGTGCAGCGTGGCGATGCACTGAGGGAGTGTTCTGATACAAGCCACAGCTTGCGCACACACACAACTTATCCTCACCTGGATACACACACGTCAGGATCAGCGGTGTGTTTGCTTAGCTTGTGTGCGTGTGTACAGAAGATGAGTTCAGACTCGCTCTCATTTTCCTGCCTCCAGTTTTTACAGACGGAAAGACGATGTGTTACATATGAAGGTCGTCTGAACGTTCAGTCTTTAAAGGGTTAATCCAGTCTTTCTTTGAGCTCTCTCTAAAAGCTAAATAAATAACATGTGCAAAGCTTGGGAAAAGCTTTATTCATGTTTTTTAACCTGCAGCTGCAGAACAAACTGTGAAGAGTGTAACTTAATCTTTCAGGGCAACTGCACCCCGTCAAAATAAAGGCCTAATAAATAAATAACTGTGCTGATAACATTGTGAAGAGATGACAGTCTAAACTGAAAGTCCCAGGCACCCTGATGCAGTAAAAAAATCATTTATTCAACAGGGATGTGAAACAATGGCAGACTTGAAGTGCATGTCCTGCCAGTGACGGAAGTCTTGGACTACGTTACAGAAAAATACTTTTTCAAACAGGGAGATGAATTTTTGAGATTTTCTTAAGAGCCACCAAACTCCATCGAGAAATTCAGCTTTTTTTCATGCAAACATCACAGGAGATGCTGCTTTACTGCAGTTAAATTAGCCTCTTTAGGGCCTCTAGGCATTTGTTTGGCGTTTGAGTGTTGTTTCAAATGTTTATATCTTGAGTGTTGTGTTGTGTTTGAGTGTTGTTTCAAATGTTTGTATCTTTGTTTCCTGTCTTAATTGTTGTGACGCAAGGCAAATTTCAGACTACGTCTGACAATAAAGTATCATCTATCTATCTATCTATCTAAAAACAAAAGTCTCATTACAGCCCTTTTCATGGTGCAGTTCTGCGACAGCGCTGTTTGAAGCTCCGCCTTCATTACACCTGAACACATTCATATAAATTCTTTAATGCTGTAATATCGGTGAATTCACATTGCGTTACGGCGTTGCAGAAGCGTAAGAGAGCGCCGCACAGTGGGAGCTCCACATACACACACACAGTCAGACATGCATTATGGCCTGGGGGGATCACTGCCACGTCCTCCCATCACATCTCAGTGACATTCAGATTGAAGGGTAAACGTCACAGGGACGTAAATATCGGGCCTTGGCTTGGCAGTCTGATCAGGGCTAATAATACAAACAGACTCTGATGATGGCTGTTAATACAAACAGACTTACCCCGTGCAGTCATGGAAGGACTTAGGCATTCATTTCAGACCTTCATTTTTACTCTGTAGTGTTTTCAGATTCATTTAAAAAGTCCAATGATGATCATTCATTGAGTTTCTTGTGTTTCAGATACGCTCAGTTCTACAGCCGGGATGAATTCTGTCACTACAACATGTTCAACCATCACTTCTTTGGAGGAGAGGTGAGAGTTCAAACACATGAATGTGTGCCGTGTCGACTTAAAGTTCAGTGTAGTAAAGGTGTGAGTCTCTCGTCAGGCTTCCAGTGGCGTCCTGCAGACCTTCCTCTCCGACAGCGACGGGGAGAAGGTGGTGATGGTGGCCGACCCTCCGTTCGGCGGTTTGGTGAAACCTTTAGCCAACAGCTTCTCTCTGATGTCCCAGCTGTGGAAGAAGCTGCAGAGTCCTGGTTAGTGTCACTGTCAGCAGCAGCTTGTAAACACAACACTCAAACATGGCCCCTCCTCCTGAGCTCAGACTGCAGTGTGTGAAGTTAACATCTGTGTCGTTGTGCGTGCAGACAGCAGTAACTCCGACCTCTCCATGATGTGGATCTTCCCGTATTTCTTTGAGCCTCGTATCCTCGAGTGTCTCCCCTCCCTCACCATGCTGGACTATCAGGTAAACTCCCCGTGTAAAAGGTTTAGAAAGACACAGTTAAGAAAACAAATGACTGTTTTCATGTCCAGATATGAGCTCTGTGCCTTTAAGAGATCACACAGTTCCTCCTGAAGAATATAAATAATGCAGTATTGTTGTTTTTTTGTTTCTCCCAGGTGGATTATGACAACCATCCTCTGTACAAACACGGGAAGACGGGCAGGAAACAGTCTCCTGTCCGAGTCTTCACTAATATTTCACCCAAAGACGTCGTCCTGCCCAAAGAGGAGGGCTACAGGTACGAACACACTCGCTCTGTTTACAGCAGGGACATGATGCTGATACAGAAAAGGTCACTAAACACACCCTGACAGATGTGTACACATGTTCGGAGTAAAGCATGGGTAGGATTAAAATGAGGATTATGGACAGATGGATCTCAAGGAAACATAAAGTCTCCGACCAGGGGTTCCCAAACTTTGCCATGCCAAGGACCCCCATATAGAGGACCCCATATATATAGAGGACCCTATACAGAATGACCCACTGTGAAACTTCTTAAATTCCTTCCTCCTTCCTGAGCATAACGACGAGCACAGCAAACGTTTTGAAAATCGTCTTCTCGTATCAGAACAACTGTTGCAGCTTCTCTTCAGTGCCGCAATGTGTCCTTGCCTAGACCAGCTCAGTCTGCTTGGCTCCAACGCGTTCTCCTCCGTGTCTGATGACAGATCATTTTTATACCATAGAACAAGCGACAGTAACTCAACAGAAAAACAAAGAAAGGAGAGAAGAATCATCAGTCTGTGGTCAAAACTCTCAGAAAGGAGCTCACAGTCCAAAGGGTCTTCCTGCTTGCACACCTGCCCGCCTCAGCTAATCAAGACCGCAGCTCCCCTGCTATTGGCCGTACAAGCAGTGAGGAGGCCCGCCCCCTCTGTAGCGTAAAAAAACAATGAAAGATTGATAGATATTCTCTTTTTTGTGGTAAAGAAAATCTAATCATGATCTGTACTCAACTGATTCTACAGTAAAGAATCTGCTGCCTGAACACACGATATTAAAAATCTCTCGTGTCTTCTCCTCCCGATAGATTTTGCTCTGCATGTCAGAGGTTTGTGTTGTCTCTCAACAAACACTGTGCCAAATGCAACGTCTGCCCGTCAAAGGTAAGAAGTCACAACAAAATACATTCACTCTGAGAAGCATTCACATGTTGACTTAACACTCCTCGTTTCTCTGCCATTATCTCCAGGATGGAAGAGAGTGGAAGCACTGCTCAACATGTCAGAAATGTGTGAAACCATGTGAGTAAATATGAAAGAGTGATAATGTTCAGGGTACTAAAAGGTCCAATCAGTGAGATGTGTAGTGATTGAAATGATAAAGGTATCTTACTATATGATCAGACATTAAGGAAACATGCTATGTTGAAGTGCTGGCTTCTCTGACAACAATGCAGCAGTCAGTATGTCCTCCTTCTAACTTTAGATTCTGCTCCTGAATGCTCTGGATTTGTTTGGACCAGAGGAGGTAGGCGCTTTTAAGGCGGTCCCCTCAGTTTGTCAGATATGAGAGCAGTTATCAGGTCAACAGGTGTTGCAGTGATGGAAGCGGGCAAGAGAAGTGGTTCAGATAGAAGTGATTGTACCCGACCTAAAAACCCTCTGCATGTTTCTAATAAGCTCCACGAGCAGAAACGTGCTCAAACTAGGATCAATATTGGAGATGCTTTTGAAAAATGGAGAGAGGTTAGAACACAGAAAGGTTTACAGACTGATGCAGAGCTGGATAAACACTGAAGCTTCAGTATCCACCACATGGTGACCTGTGAGAGCATGGACTCTAGAGAGGAGGGGGTGGGGGGAGACAGCTCTCTATGATGTTTAGGATTTAGACTGCAGTACCCATTTTAAACACTAGGTGTCAGAGTTACATACTGCTCCTTTAATGTCATGTCGTGGTTAATGTGTTGCATTTCCTCCTCTAAGCGTGGAGACACTGCCAGGCTTGTGGCCGCTGTGCTCTCCCGGATCACCCGTGTGGACAAAGTGAGGGTAAGCAGGGCTGCTTCAACTGTGGCAGCCTGGAGCACAAACGCAAAGCCTGTCACGTCAAAGAGCAACACCGGACCAACGGGTGAGCTCAGGGTTCAACTTCTGCGGAGGATTTAATCTCTCCACTTCATCGAAAGATTCCATAATTTACACGTTTTAACATCTGATCCCCGTCTGTCCTTCAGTCAACGACTTAAAACCAAGGGTAAGGGCAAGAACCTTTCCAAGCGTCCCACCATCAAGCCGAAAGGAAAGAGGAAGTCTGGAGCAGCACGCAGAGCCAGGAAGATGGCCGCTCTGTCTGTGTGACCTGAGGGATCATCCAGCAGCATGACAACATTCACATTCAAAGCAATGAGTTGTTTTTTTAAATAGAATCTCTAACATCTGCTCCTGACTCTCTTATTGTTCAAGTACAATAAAAAAGAAAAACAAAAAATGACTTTATATTTACTTTATTTAAATCCAGACTTCAGATACCATGATCATGAGAATATAAAGCTACAGAGCGATGTCCCAGGATGCAACATTATAAATCAGTCATGCCCTACAGCAACATTTCCACTTAAAGTCGTGGTGAGTCAATGTGTTAACACAGCAGATAATATTCCAGCGATGCGGCAGAGAGTGAGTGATCGATCGGTTTGACTCGACTCTTTTCTGCTCGCCACTTTGTTCTTCTCCACTCTGTAGTTGATTCTGTGAATATGTCCAAACACACACAGCATTGATATAAAATCAGAAAACAGTCATTATAGTCTCATCTGACAACATGTCTAACCTCCTGAGACCTCTCTCCTCCTGTGAGATGCATACTGTAGTTGTTTTCAAATATGTGCTCCTAGAATTAGAAAAAAATCTTGCACATCCATTTGATAAGACCGGTGCGTAGTAGAGCAATGTGTCCATCAATGACTTAAAGCTAAACTCCCACACTCACTTGCAAATAAACTTTTTTTTTGGCAACGCTTCATTGGGAAAACACAGAACATATGCAATCCTGAAATTTTCTAGAGACAGTCTATGGTTGTGCAGCGATCACAGGAAATAAACGTCACCACCCCCTCCCACTCGCTCCAGGTGAATTCTCCTGATTATATCCTGCTGCGTTCTCACATCAGATCACTCTGACTTTCTGCAGAATAAATACGAGGAGGCTGGAAAAAGGCTTCAGTGAGCAAATGAAGAGCTGGAGCAGCGATAACAAGTCCAGACACTGAAAATAACCATTTTCTTAATAATGTCCATTATGTCGTGACTCACAAAAACGCCCAACCCTGCAGGAAGGTGAGGGATTATGTGTGGCTTGTTTTGTCCTGTCAGCTGTCCTCTGAAAGTATCTGACTCAAACATTAATGAAGTTCTGTCCTGTCCTTACACGCTGCACGCTGTGTTAGGTTAGAGAACAACTGTCACAATGAACACTCCTTAGTATTAGTATTTCAGTATTTATTTATTTGCACAATAAGAAAAAAAATAGAGAATAGTCTGTGCAGGAAGAGGCAGAAAACTCAAAGAGCTTATTTGAATCCTCTGCCTAAATAATGTTTAAATATCACCAAATTAAAAAACAACAAATAATATCCCACACAAAGTCAAGATACAGAGTAGAGTTTTCACAATGCCAGTCCTTTTACATTTGATGCAGTTCTACCACGGCCAACAGAAGTAAAAGTCAGACACACCCATTGGCTTGATTTTAATTACTAAACATTTTCAGGCAAACTCCTGCACGCTGTCTCAATTACACACATACTGAAGTGTTTGTTCAACTTCATCACCTCCTCTGCTCCGTCTGTTTTCTAAGATTTATGAAAGTAACTCTTGCATCTTTCTGAGACACCGAAAGTAC